TCAGTCCGAACCAAAGCGTGACGAACAAGACAACCTTCTGTACTGACTCGGTCCGAGTCAACACTTGACTCGGTCCGAGTCAGAAGCCTCTGAGATCATGTCTGTTCGATTTTGATTCGTTCTGACTCTGTCGAGTCAACACTTGACTCTGCCCGAGTCAAAACTCTGATTTGTGTTCTGACTCGGTCGAGTCAATACTCTGACTCTGTCCGAGTCAAAACTCTGAGTTTCTCTCGTTCTGACTCTGTCGAGTCAAAACTTTGACTCTGTCCGAGTCAAAACTCTGGCAGAAACTTTCAGGCCACGAAATCTAGGTTTTCACCCTAATTTGATGCGTCATCAAGCCGTCTTCGACCCCAAACTCATCCATGCATCAAATAACAATCATAACATCATTAAATATGCATAGATCAAGCCTATCATGCAATTTTAACCATTAAAGTTCATATAGGCATGCGACAAGCACGGCGATATACAGAGAACCAGGCTCTGATACCACTGTTGGGTTACGCTACGGATTCCTAGCATGCGATCATATCGATCTAGGGTTTGGTTTACTAGGTTTCATGCAGCGGAAGAATAATCTAAACCTAGTCAAACGTCACACGCAACCAAAAATCATCCGTAAAACCCCGACAGATCGTGTATATCACCGTAGGAATCGAATACTTACCTCTTTCCTGAAGATCTGAAAGTAGCAATCGATCCAGGGCCTGTTTTAATCACCAAGAGCTGAAAGTACAGCTCCTCTACACGTATCCACACCGACGGGAAGGATTCCAAACACTTTTGGAACTGATCTGCTAGGATCTATGAAGTGAATAGGGTTTTCAAGACTTGGGATCGAATCCCGGGAACTAGAGAAATGATTTTCTTGTGTTCTAGATCTGCCTTAGGGTTCTGAAAGTTTGTCTTCGGTTGAGTACGGCGTCCAGTACCCATTTTATAAGATAGGAACCCTAACCCTTGTGAAAAGTGACTTTTCCGAGTATTGACTCGGTCGAGTCAGAACGAATCAGCCCAAGCCCATTGTCAACTCTTGACCCGGCCTATTTAGTATTGACTCGGTTCGAGTCAAAACTTTGACTCGACCGAGTCAAAACATCAGCCAAGCCCAAAACGCTTTCTGGGCTTCGGCTCGCATGGAACTGACTCGGTCCGAGTCAAGTACTGACTCGGTCCGAGTCAGAAGGCTGAAACTCGTCCCGACACTCTAATTTGGTGCGAGAACCGGTTGTTCGACCAAATCCAAGTCTATCTTTCCGATACTTCACATATAAGTCCATCCCTTATGGTGATTGACCCTGTAGGCCCATTCGCAGTGGCAGTAGCCTCGAGAACCATTTCCGATCTACAAGTCATGGTTAGCCTCTAACAAGACGCCATGACCACCCACGTTGAACTGAGTTAGAGGTGATCTAACCAAGGCAATAACAGAGTTCTGATCCTTTATCTCCCGATGTCATATGTTGAACAAGGGCATGGTTTGAGCCACCCTTCAAGTTCAACCGCTTTCTCATCTTGGCAAATCGACTAATAAAATAGATGCAACTTCATCTATAGCATGGCCATACATTTTCATAGTCCGACTTCCACGAGAGGGCCCAGCGATATCTCTCCTATTGAGGAGGTGACAAGTCCCATATTGCATGTCTATTATCTCCATATGATTCGTGAACGTATCTGATCAACGCCGTTATAATCATCCGGTTAAAGACGACGTTTGACGCAGTCAAGACACACCACTCCTCATATCAGATACTCTAGACATCTCAGGTCTGAGGATCCAAGAACGAACCGCTGTATGATATTCAAGTCATGACTCTGTCCATGTGACAACCTCATGCGGGTCAACCAGTCACTCGTTCACAATGAGTACCCATGATTGTGATATGCATCCAATGCATCGATCACACATCATGCTAGTCTTAATTCATCATTGTTCCCACAATGATAACTGACCAGGGTGTTTAGAATCATTCTATAATGATTCAAGGATACCGAAATATAACAAACATGCCAATCATATAACGGGAATGTAATGCATTCATAAATCAATGAATCAATACAAAGTCAAAATGTCATATCACGGATCATCCTAGAGCATTACAACCAACAGGAACGTCATTCCCTATAAGGAGAATGTCATCCACGTACAGCATATCCGTTGGAAAATTCGTTGGAATATTCGTCGGAATGTTACAACGGTTTTTACAATGGCGGTCCGTTGGAATTTTATAGTGTTTCAAATGGATAGTCGTTGGAATACCCGTTGGAAATCGAAAAAAATTAATAAAAAAATAAAATAAATATTTAAAATAAAATAATAATTTATTTTATTTTTAATATTTATTTTATTTTTTATTAATATTATATATATTATATATTAATAAATATATATATATATATAATAAAACAAAATTAAAATTAAAATATTAAAATAAAAAAAATTATTCAAATATTACAGAAAATTTAAATATTTCAGAAAATATAAATTAATTGGCACTATGGGTTTCTTCGTCTTCGCTGGTCCCGAGATTACGTGCGAGTGTCTCGATCCGCCGTTGTTGTACGAGATCACTCTGCATGCCAGGAGGAATTGCTGCACCGAAATCATCAAATAAATCTCGATGCAATCCTCCTAATCCATAGATGCGGTCCTTATTTGGAGAGACCGACTGAAAAATGAATAAAATATTTAAAATAAAATTAAAGTATTAAAATTTAATATTTAAAAAAGAATTATTAAAATTTTTACCTCAACATAGCAACGATCTTGGTCTGATGCAGAGAGACCGGATGAAGAACCCGCTGAATCGCCAATATTTTACGAGAGTTGGGTAAGTCTTTGAGTTACCGTGCTTGCAACGCGTTCAGCACGAGGATCGACATATATCCCATCAGACTTTTGTGTGTCCGAGCCACCAACTCTACAATTGATGGCGATCTCTCTATTTCTTTCTCCTAATATATATATATATATATTAGTAACGCAATAAAAATTCTACAATTAAAAAACAAATTAAAAATTAAAGTTTAAATAAATATCATCTCTTTTTGCCTTTTCTTGAATGATTTAGCTGGACAGAGGATTGTGAGAATGGAGGTATGACGATGAAGACCATCACCCTCGATTTTTTGGGCCAGACGACTTTGTTTCGCTTTAGAACTCTTGTTCTTGAAATGGTCTGAGTTCCAATGCGCAATAAGCTGCTCGTACAAGTCATTTGTTGCCCACTTCGGTGGCAGTCCATGCAGCTGATGACGGCGTTTGGCATTGTTCATCATTTGTTTCAACCGCTGCATGTCGAGCTGGTGGAACTCTTTGTAAACTTTATCGGTGTACTTTTTTTTCCACCGAAAAGATTGCTTTATAAAAAAATTAGAGTTAGTGATAAATTATTTTATTTAAATAAAATTTTAAAAACATAACTTACGATGAACGAGTGCCACCAATAACGTTTGATGTTGTCTGGTACCACCGTCCAACACTAGTAGAGTTGAGAAAAATTAGACGTTATTATTGCCGTAAATTTTTTTCTCAACTCTTTATCGTTAACTCCAAACCTAATAATAACATTTTATTATTAATATTAGTTAATAATATAAATAAAATAATTATTTAAATAAATTAATTTAAAAATTACCATAACGCCCTGTCAAGTTCGGGATCAATTAGCGGGACCTCGCGAGTTTCGAAGGAATTTAAAATTTCCTATACCTCCTCCAGAGTTATGTCAATCTCTGGGAATAGTGGGGGTGCATCCACCGGTTCTGGAAGACGAGAAGGTGGTGGCGGGGGTGATGGCGGTGCTCCAGAAGAACCCGCCAACAATCCTCCGGATCCCGAAAATCACCTACGAAACTGAAAAAAATAATAGTTAGTAATTCATACAAAATAAAACATAAACAAACATTAAAGAGTTGAAAAACAATAACCATTTTGTGTTTTTTTTGCTGATTTTTTTTTGTAAGAGTTGATTTTTTTTTATGAGATTGAGTGAGGAGGAAGAGTGGAGCGCTCGGATTTTATAATCGAACTTTTCAACGGATTTCCAACGGGCATCCGTTGGAATTCTGTGCGCGCATTTAATGTTCTCTGACATTTTTCAACGGATGCCCGTTACAATCGTACTTTCCAACGGGCATCCGTTGGAAATAATCTAGATTGACGCGATAGACGCCAGGTGCGTCGAACGGATTTAATGTTTCAGTTTTTCCAACAGATGCCCGTTGGAAAGTATGATTCTAACGGGCATCCGTTGGAAATTTCCAACGGACAGCCGTTGTAATACTGGGGTCGATTCGATAGCTGCGCTCCGATTCCAACGGGCATCCGTTTGAATGGTTGTGACCATTCGAATTCTGCGATTCGATTCCAACAGATGCCCGTTGGAATTTAACATTTAAAAAAAAATTCCTCAAAATACAAATAAATATGAAAGTATTCTTCAAAATACAAATACATATGAAAACAATAAAAAGAAATAAGTCTACATAGAATCTTCATCACTTTCATCATCCGGAGTTGTATCATGGTCTGAAACAAATTCGTCGATATCGTCTTGTACGTTTGACGAATCATCAAGTAACTCGTCGTCTATGTCAGGAAGTGCAAGTGTCTCGTCGTAATTATCATCTAGTCGGATGGGAAGAATCGGATCTTCGACTTGCTCTTGCATTGGCTCATCGAGATCTTGTGTTGTCGACGAATCCACGATTAATCTTCGTGGGTTAATCTTCAAAACAGCCGATCATTGATCTTCCCATCGTCGTTTCACCGATGTCGCAGAATGTTTCGGATATGGAATGAAGCATACCTGGTCTGACTGATCTGAAAGTATAAAAGGATCGTAATTTGCATATGAACGTTTCAGGTTTATATCAACACGTCCCCATCGATTTTTCTGTGAGCCGCGTCCCGACGTTGTATCAAACCAATCACATTTGAATATGATTGTTTTCAACCTGACTAATCCTGGATACTGGAGTTGGAAAATCTGCCGAAGAACCCCAAAGAAATCAGGATCTTCAGATGACCCGTTTTTTATACAAACTCCGTAATTGAACGTGGATTTATGTTTTCCATGATCGTAAGTGTGAAACGTGTATCCTCGGGTGAACATTATCGGCCAGCAAATGACTTTTCTCCCAGGTCCATGTGATATATCTCTGATCCATGCCGGAATTCTATCACTACATGATTGAATCTGCGCATAAAAATTAAATTATTACACAAATATACATATACACGTACATATATATAGCTAGATCAATACTTACGTAGTCTCGTAGCCAAGATGCATAATGTTGTTCCTTCATTCCTTCAAGTTCCTCCCCACATAGATTAGGATATGTTGCCAAAACATCCTCGTCAAAAAGTCTTAAAATTTGCTCTCCGGTTTGCATAACAGGACCTTCCTCAGTAACGATTTTACCTTTGGTAAAAAGCGTACGATTTTGTCTAAATGGATGATTCCTTGGAAGAAATCTGTGATGACAGTCAAACCAGCATGACTTTCTCCCATGTCTCAACTGAAACGCTTCATATATATATATATAGTACTTACGTAGTCTCGAAGCCAAGATGCATAATGTTGTTCCTTTATTCCTTCAAGTTCCTCTCCACTTAGATTAGGATATGTTGCCAAGACATCATCATCAAAAAGTCTTAAAAAACATGTTATTAGGAAAAATATAAATATATAATTAATTAATTTCTAAAGTCATTTGAGATTAAAAATGTGTACCTTTCGTATGGCTTAAGTTCTTCACAGTTCAACAATATATATGTGGCGATGTGATTGTACTCTTGTACGTTAACCAATATTCTTCAGATTTGCCTCCGAGTCGTTCAGTAGGTGGAAAACTTTCGGGAATAAGTCCGAAACATGTATCATATTGGTAGAGATAACATCTATCGTCTTCGTTGGTAGCTCTCCTTTTCTTCATTTGAATATGAGATTCAAAATAGAAAGAACTGAAGTAGGAGATCTCCTCTAACAAATACTGTTTGACGATAGATCCTTCCACTGATGCTTTATTTTTTGCCTTCTTCTTCAGATGGAAAAAAAATCGCTCAAATGGATACATCCATCTAAACTGTACTGGACCACCGTATATCGCATCATCTGGTAAATGAATAGGTAAATGTTCCATCACATCAAAAAATGAAGGTGGAAATACCTTTTCCAAGGCGCAAAGTATCTCGGGGATGTTGCCTTTCAAAACCTCTAGGTTACTTCTTCTCAGAGATCTTGCACATATATCTCGAAAGAATGTGCTGATACCGCATAACGCTCCGTGGACACTGGGTTTCAATAGCTCCACAAATGCAATAGGAATGAGTCTTTGCATGAATACACGGCAATCATGACTCTTCATTCCCATAAGCTTTAATGAATCAGTATCAATGCATTGCGCCAATTTGGATGCATATCCATCAGGGAATTTAACCCTCTTCTTTTAACCATTTAAACAAGACCGTTTTCCCTGGTCTTGTGAGTCTGAATATCGGCACATGTGCGTGATCATCACGTGTCAACTCCAACTCTTTTCTCTTGCATATATCTTTCAAGTCCTTCCTCGAGTTGATGTTGTCTTTACTTCTCCCTGGCATATTCAGAACGGTGTTGATGATGTTATCAAAAAGGTTTTTCTCTATATGCATAACATCCATATTGTGTCGAGGCGTTAGCGAACTCCAGTAAGGCAACTCCCAAAAAATACTACGCTTATACCAGTTATGCCAATCACCAAATCCTTTGCACTTCTTATGCCCAAAATTACCTCCACATTGCACAGAAGCTTGCAAATCATCCAAATATCCACTATTTATTCGCTCAGAATAAATTTTCTCTCCGATTTGCATAACAAGACCTTCCTCAGTAACGATTTTACCTTTGGTAAAAATGGAAGACTTGCATGTCCGTTTTGCATGGAGAAAACTGAAGCGTTTCAGTTGAGACATGGGAGAAAGTCGTGCTGGTTTGACTGTCATCGCAGATTTCTTCAAAGGAATCATCCATTCAGACAAAATCGTACGATTTTTACCAAAGGTAAAATCGTTACTGAGGAAGGTCTTGTTATGCAAATCGGAGAGAAAATTTATTCTGAGCGAATAAATAGTGGATATTTGGATGATTTGCAAGCTTCTGTGCAATGTGGAGGGAATTTTGGGCATAAGAAGTGCAAAGGATTTGGTGATTGGCATAACTGGTATAAGCGTAGTATTTTTTGGGATTTGCCTTACTGGAGTTCGCTAACGCTTCGACACAATCTGGATGTTATGCATATAGAGAAAAACTTTGTTGGGACTCCTGGGATCTCTAGAGCGAATCTAATTCCTAATAGATCGGTTCTAGGGTTTGCGCAGTGGTTGTAAAACAAAAATTTTATAAAACCCTAAAACCTATCATGCATGATCTTGTAGAAACATTAGAACGCTTACCTCTATCGATCCGGGGTCTGTATCAATTGATGTGTTCATCCAATCATTGCAGGCAGGAAGAATACCTCGCCCTCTACACGTATCCACACGGCGGAAAGGATTCCAACGGTTGGAACTCGTCTGCTAGGACTGAAGAACGCTTTCTTCTTTGCACAAGGATTTCAGGGATTAATCTCTTAGGTTTTTCTCTCTCAAAACCTCTCAAAAAGGTCTGAAAGTCGTGCCAAAGAGCTTCAAAGGAGTTCCCCAAAGTTTATCCCCTTTAAAACCCTAATTTGGGCGAGTTAATGAAATCCCTACGTCTGGACCGATCGGTCCAGACCTGGACTGATCGTCTGGAGCTTATTACATGTGGATCGATCGATTCAGGACTCTGGACCGATCGGTCTGGAACCATTTTCGGACCGATCAACATTTGGACATCACCTCTGGACCGATCGGTCTACTTCTGGACCGATCGGTCTGGGCTGGCTGGACCGATCGGTCCGGACCTTCTGGACTGGTCGGTCTGACCTCCGCTCCACCAGAAAATTCTCGTCTTTTCTCGCGCGTTTGTCCTTTCCTGTGTGTGACCCTGTAGGCTCATCCGATATAGTAGTGTAACCCGAAATCTCCATTTCGTTTATACAAGTCATAGGCGGTCTCTAGCAAGAACTATGACTACCTATCTCGAATAGAGTTTGTTCGTGATCTTACGAACGTCACTGGTG